TCAAATTGCAAGGCCATACATGCCTTTGACAAAATGAATCCTCTCTCTCTCTCTCTCTCTCTCTCTCTCTCTCTCTCTCTCTCTCTCTCTCTCTCTCACACACACACACACACACACACAATAAATAGATTCACTCCCGGATCCCTGATGTCAATTTAGCCTCTTCCCAAGTGCCATCTCTGGGAGATTAATGGGGGCAGCTGTTAAGGTCAAGGATCTTGATGCATGAGCGACTCCCCCGAGGAGCTCATGTTTAAGTGCCTGTGTAAATCACAGAGGAGGGCTCATAAAATGGAACAAACTCGTTTGTTATTCATTCTTGAAGAGGATTTAAGGATTCAGTTACTCATTTATAAAATTCTAAGAGTGCACAATGCCAATATAGTGCTGGGACTGGAGTCTGCAGCAGATGAGCCAAACAGTCAAACGGTCCAACAGATACCTGTTGACTACAGTGTTAAACAGGTGACAAAGGACAAGAGAGCAAGCAGCGTGGGTGTGATCAGAGGGCTCTGCCTTAGAAGAGGTGAGTAGGAAGACACTGGAGAAGAGCCTCTGCGAGGACAGAGGAGGCAAGGGCTGTGTGTGGCAAGTGCAAAGGCCCTGAGGCAGAAGCCTGCCTGACATCACAGAGGAAGGCAGAGGCCACACTGCTTGTTTGAAAGTTGCTCTCTTAAGGAAACTAGAAACAACAACCACAACAGCATAACATTGTATGCCCAGCCAGGAAAACATCCCTCCTGTGGACTGACCTTCCCATTTAACCTCCAGAGGCTCCAGTGACTTTTAGAGAAAGAAAAAGCTGCCAGGCCTAGTAGCCCAGCCAGCTGCCCCACACAGAGCCAGCTTGCTCTTCCTGCTGTCTGGATGTGGCTGAGCTTTCCATGGGTGACAGGGAAGAAGCCACAATGCTCTCCTTGGTATTCTCAGCTGTCTCTCTGTCGCTGCTCAGCCTATAGCCTCAACATCCTTGCTGTGTTCAGCATCAGATCCCTACCTACCAGGCTAGGGTGTTTCTTTTCCAAACAGAAAGGCCTGGATTGGGGTGGGAAGAAGTTAAATAAACCAAATGGAAATGGCTTGAACACCCATTGCCTATGACTTAAAGTTCTTAGAATGCTCTGTTCTTTAGGCAGCCAGAGAATCCCATGCCTGTATATGTAATAATAGATATATAGATAGTAATAGATATATATAATTAGATATATTTTATTAGATTTAGTCTACTTTTTATTTGTCTGTGTGTGTCTCTGTGTATGTAACTATACATGTGGGTACCCATGGAGGCCAGGAGAGGGTGTTGGATTCCCTGGAGCTAAGCTATAGGCAGATATGAGAGGCCTGACGTGGACATTGGGAACTGAACTCTGGTCTTCTGCAAGAGTTGCAAGTGCTCTTAACCACTAAGCTATCTCTCCTCTCTGTAGTACTATTATGAATTATTTGTGGCACTGGACTAGAAATTCTGTGTTTACTGCATACTACTGTGTTGGCTAATTGTTTATTTCATGATTACTCCACCATTGAGTATTATCTGTGCATACACCTTCCTGAATCTAAGATCCTACACAGCTTCAGGAAGAAAATCCACAGACTCTGGACCAAAGGGTCACTTCTAGATCACACACAGATGCCTCTCCCTTGTCTCAGCTGACCTCCAGCTATTGAGGGAGGGGAGGGCCATAAACCTAGGGTTAGGAGCTGCCAAGGTCAGGTGGGTTAAGGAAAGAACAGTGGAACAAACAGTCACTCAACCCCAATGTCCAAGCTTCTCAAAGTCTCAGAGGTCAGCAATCTGTGAGCCTAAATGGTGACCTCTGAGAGTTGTGGAATGTACAACCTAGACACTGAGCAAGAGCCCACTCCTCCTATTTTCTTCAGCTTGGTGTCCTTGGACGTCCACTGACCCCGGGCATGCTTCAGGCTCCCTCCCCATCTCTGCCTCCTTTCCTCCACTGCACCACCAAAACATGGGGCACAGTTGAAGGCACTGCTAGTGAGCACCTGGGCATGTCTAGTGCTTAGGCTCTGGCCTCTCTCTAGTAATTTAGCAATAAATAAAACATGGTGGTGGAGGGTGCTTAGTCCTTAAACTAAGAACTCTGACCACCACCCGCAATTAACCTTACAGACAAAATCAGACAAGTGTGTAGACATATGAGCAAGGATATTCTGCATAAAACTGCAACTTACAAAGCAGACAAAAATAGAATGCTGGATTGCTTATGGGTCCACAGATTGTAATTCAAGTTATCCACAGAAATAAAACATAGGTGTATATCTCAGAACCATCAACAATCATGGGATGGATCTTCGTGTGCTGACAAGGAAAGTTACTCCCAATCTGTCAGTAAGAGGAGAGCATGGGCACAGTGCAGTATTTTGCATACTTAATTCTGTAAAAACAAGGTAAAATTTCACATGTGAATAAGAAAATTTTAGGAGGCTAAGTACTAATTGGTGATCTGCATCATTTATTTTTCCCATAATTGTTAGGAGTTACTAACACTTGCCACCAAGCCTGATGACTTCAGTTCCACCCCCAGAACCCACATAGTGAAAGGAGAGAATTAGCTCCCAAACACTGTCCTCTGACCATCACACAGATGCTGTGGCACATGTGTGCACATGCACACTTTTACATACACATTCACACTTAACAATAAATACGGAAATAAATGTAAAGAGTGTGTTTTTTTTAAGTAGGTAATATGGCTGGGGGACAAGACTTAGTTGGTAGAAGGTTCGGCTAGCATTCATGAAGCCTTAACTTTTGTCTTCAGCACCATAGAAAACCATCTGGACCTTATAGAGATATTTCCTCAATGGAGGTTTCCTCCTTTCAGATATCCCTAGGTTGTGTCAAGCTGACATAAAGCTAGCCAGCACAGATAGGAAGGGCTTATTTTGGCTTGTGATTTGCAGGTGTTGTCCACTGTGTTGCAGAAGGGCTTGAGGAAGCTGGTGACATTGAATCCACAGTTGGGAAGCAGAGAGAGATGAATTTGCTTACTCCTTTTTATTCAGGCCAAGACAACAGTCTGTGGGATGGTGCTGTGCACAATCAAGTTTGGTCTTCCCATCCCAACTAAACCTCTAGAAACACTGTCCCATATATACAGGAGGAGTCTCCTAGGTTATTGGAAACCCTATCAGGTCCACAGGGAAGACTCAACCACCACAATGAGGTTCCGGTAATAGTGAAACCACAGACACGGGGAGCAGGCTGGTGGTGGCTGGGGGTGGGCGTGGACAGGGGAATGAGGATTTGGTGCTTGGTATGGAAAGCATCAGCTGAGAAACATGAAAAGCTCTGGAGATGGAGATGCCAGGGATGCATGTGTGACAGCATGGATGCACTTAATGCTACAAATCAGGAAGATGTTGCATCTGAACAGTGCCACTGACACCTCCCTCAGCTGTGGGAGGGGGCATTGCCCCCACAACAGGCACTGTACATACACCTGGAAGCTTGCTAATGCTGCTTTCTCATCACCAGGCAATTTAGAGGTTGCATACTATTTAGCATAGAGACACACAGCACTCCAATATTTCTTTGACAATAGTTTTTTAAAAGTACATCTTTGCTGAAGGGCTTCATGACAACATGGATCATGAACTCTTTAGAAGCTCACCTCTGATCTACACATTCTACTTCCAGAATTTCTCCTATGTTAAGAGGCCAGGAAAAGTTGCAAACACAGCTGCCCATGGGTGTCACAACACTGACTGCAATCATGGAAACCTTGAAATAATCTCAGCATCTCAAATAGGAAAATGGTTTGAAAGACCAGTTACAACAGCAAAGGTGATTTCCTCCATGTGAAGTGTCCATGCCATTCCATGTGCTCAGGTTTCATGCTGGTGATTACTGTGTTGTGGTCAGTGACTCAGAAGTTTGTTTGCTTTGTCTGAATTTTCTTACTCTTTTCTAAAGCAATGTGTATTCTTCTCTGTTCACATGAAATATTACCCTTTGGGGGTTTAGTTTGGATATCTGAGTTTTCTTGAGGTGATCTCTATTTACAATCCAGGCTGGTCTTGAACTTGTGGTCCTCCTAGCTCTGCCTCCAAGTGCTGGGATTAGGGGTGTGCACCACCATGTCTCGCTTTTGATATTGTTTTTAGGCAACATGGGCCAGTCAAACCCAATTTTAAAAAGCTGGAAGTTATCTGTGTGTGAGTAACCCTGAGGTTGATGTCAGGGTCTCCTCAACAATCTATCTTCATTTTTTGAAACAGGATTTCTCAGTGACACTGAATCTTTTTTATTCAAAATAGAAACAATCTTATTTTACATATCAATCCCAGTTCCCTCTCCCTCCCACCCTCCCATGTCCCCCACTGGCGCCCCATCACATCCCTTTCTGCTCCCCAGGGACAGTGAGGTCTTTCATGGGGGATCTTCATGTGCCTAGGCTGAGAGAGTATCCATCAATGGGGAGTGGGCTGCCAAAGTCCACTCATACACTAGGGATAAATACTGACCCACTGCCAGAGGCCCCACAGACTGCACAGGCCTCCTAACTGACACCCACGTTCAGGGGACCTGGTTTGGTCCTATGTTGGTTTCCCAGCTGTCAGTCTGGGGTCCATGAGCTCCCCCTTGTTCAGGACTGACACTGAATCTTATCCATTAAGCTAGACTGGGTGGCCAATGAGCTTCAGAGGTCTGCCTGTCTCCACCCCAACCATGGCTAGGATTACAGGCACAATGTCTAGTTTCTTACATGGATCCCACGTATATGAACCCAGGACTTTGGCTTGTATAGCAGGCACTTTTACAACTGCTCCAACCCTCAAACATATCTTTTATGATAATTGCAAAGTAAGTTTTGATTAAAAAATAAATCCAAATTCCTGTTTGCAGAGTCTCCTATCTCTGAGGTCTGTATGTGAGCAACAACATTTAAGTTCAGAAGAGTCTGTTTTCCCACTGGCCCACCATGTCACAACAAGTTTCAATCATCCTCAATGTCACAATCACAGGTAGCCCTTACCAGATAGGCTCTCCAGAAGGACTGGATGCTGATTGCAGCTTCTTCTTCTGTCAGTAGCAGGGAGAGGGGGATTGGTGGCCGAGGGCTGAAAAGCAATAAAATGGTCATAGGCCTGTGAGAATCCATCCTTCATCCTGGCAATGCCTTTGACAACATAATAGTCTTCCTGATTAAAAGCCTCATCCATCCCCATTCTTAGAGGGCAAAAATGTCATTTTTGATGGAAGAGTGTATGCTTGAGTTAGCATTTCCTGTTAAGACCTGGGATTTTTCAAAATTGTAACTTTGTGTGTGCCTCTCTGTCTCTCTGTCTCTCTCGATCTGTCTCTCTGTCTGTCTCTGTCTCTGTCTCTCTGTGTGTCTCTCTGTCTCTGTCTCTCTCTGTGCATCTCTCTGTGTCTCTCTCTGTGTCTCTGTCTCTGTCTCTCTCTCTGTCTCTATCTCTCTTTGTCTCTATCTCTCTTTGTCTCTCTCTCTCTCTCTCTGTGGGTGGTGGCAGCAGGGGTGGTATGTGTGCCCAAGTGAGCACATATGGAAAACAGAGGCTGACATCCAGTGTCTGCCCCTATTATGGTCCACTGTTTTTGTTTGTTTGTTTGTTTGTTTGTTTTTGTTTTGGGGGGGTTGGTTTTTAAAGACAGGGTTTCTCTGTATTGTTTTGGAGGCTGTCCTGGAACTCGCTCTGTAGACCAGGCTGGCCTCGAACTCACAGAGATTCACCTGCCTCTGCCTCCCGAGTGCTGGGATTAAATGCATGTGCCACCACTGCCCAGCCCACTGTGTTTTTGAAACAGGGTCAATTGAACTTGGAGCTCCTTGATCCTTGCTCCTAGGTTCAGCTGCCCAGGAGGCACCAGGTACTGTCTCACATTTGCCCCTACACCTAGCTCTGGATTACCCGCTACCACACCTGGCTTTTTAAATGGATCTAGGGATCTGAACTCAGGTCCTCAAGCCTTCACAACAAGCACTGTACCAGCTGAACACTTCCCCAGGTTCAATCAGTGTGTGCTCTTAAACCAGGGATAGTCCATTCTTCCTTTGAAGGACTCAGGTTACATGTTAGTATTGAAGATGTAACATACGTGTCATCAACATGACTACACAGACATAGCACAAGAGACAGAACACCAGCCTTTGAGGATGACACTGTAATTTAAGCACCACATGAACCAGCTCGGTAGCTTACATGCACAATCCAACCATGTAAGAGGTGAAAAGGGAAGATCATTAAGTTCAAGTCAACCTTGACTATTATCAACTTCGAGGCTATGTGAGACCTCTCAAAACAAAAACTGAGAGCAGTGGGGGGGGGTGCTCAGCAATGAGCACTTGTCAGCCTAGCATGCACAAGGCCTTTGGTTCCACCTCCAGGGCAGAAAAGAAAAAGAAAGAAAGGGAGGGGGAAGGGGATGGAGAAAGAACCTTGATACAGTATGTTTGGGTAATAAATGCTTTTAGATTATTCTAAAATAGAAGAAATCAAAGCCAGGAAGACAATGTGGTTACTGAGACCCTGTCTAGGGGTATAGTGTCACAGCAGGCTCTGGCTTTCAGGCTGGCTGGATGTCCTCCAATGGAGAGATGAAACAGACAATTCTGCAGAGATAATCAGCCCCTGCAAGCGCAGCTTTGTGAGAGAGAACCTTTCCCTAATGTTCACTTTCCACTTTTAGCCCCATCAGGCAGTCTTTTGTTTGTTTGTTGCTTCTGTTTTTGCCTTTTCTTGCCTAATAGCTGCTCTTCTGGCTGCAATGCTCTGCCCCTGGGGTGCCCTGCTGTCCATACGCAGTGTCTGTCTGGCTCATCCACTCTTCCACTGTCCATAGAAATCAGTGGTCAGTGTGTCGCTACCACACCACATCCCTGAAGTGACTGCCCCTCACTAGTTAAAATGGCTTCCAGAGGCCTTGGCATTTCTAAGGAGACCTTTATGGCAGCGAACTTAGGGAATAACACTGTAATATACCAACACCCGCTGGTATTCACTGATCACCTTCTGGCCCTGTGCTGCCCAGGCCTGTTTCCAAATTGACGAGGCCTTACAGCTCTTCTGAAAAAGTGTCTCCAAAGCCCTAGGGTACCAGGATGTCTGTGCAGGATGCTTTCTTCTCAAGGACGCCCAGCAGAGGAGATGCAGGGCCCTACATCCCAGCCTGTGATCTGCTTACTCATTCCCTCCTCACTCCCTACTAAGATGAAAACACTTTTCCTTCATTGGTTCCAATGTGCCTGAGGGTTGGTCAGCACCAGACACCTTTTTCTCCTGGTTCACTCTTAGGCCTCTTCTGATTTCCACTCAAATATTTTTAAAACATCCTTTGATTAGGTTGGGGTCTAGCTACTATTCTTCCTAGCTACTGGATCAATCTGGAAACAAATGTGTGTGCTCGTCTGATGAAGATCCAAAATCTTCAAGTCATAGGTACACAGCCTGGTCTCATGTTTGTTCCTCTTGGTATTGGCACTTGGAACAACACAGGCATGTAACAGGCACTCAATAGCTGTGGAGACAGTCCACTGTGATCAAATATCCTGCAGAAACAACTTAGGGGAGGGAGGACTTTTTTGGCTCATGGTTTCAGAGGGATTTCATTTCCTTGTGGTGGGGACCGTACAGTGAAGTTATTGCCCTCATATCTAAGCTGTCTAGGAAACAGAAAGCTAAATGAAACCTGGGCTAAGTATGACTTTTCAAGTACCTCCCCTGGTCACTTACTTTAACTAGTCAGGCCTTATCTCCTAAAGGCTCCAGAGCCTTCCAAAGGGCACCACAAGCATGATATAAAGTATCCATAAGATGAACCTGGGGATACATTTCAGATCAAAACCTCAACAGCCTGGCTGTGTGCTGAGTGCTGTGCTGCACATGACTTCATACAATCTTTACAACAGAAGCGGGGCTGTGCGACCTTGTGTTTAGGGCTGAAAAGGCTGAGAGACATGAGGAGGTGGGTATGACAAAGGGAACTCATTCAAGGTCACTGACTGTTTCCTACTGCAAGCTGTCCAGAAAGAGGGAGTGACCAAAGAAGGGAAGAGACAGCTAGAAAGTCACTAGCACGGAAGTAGGCGTCCAGCAGCTGACAGACGGACGCTGGAAGAAAGCGTGGTCACTTGCCTGGGCATTTTTTTAAAAAAGGAGGAAAGCCATAATCACAGAACACACTCTCCCCTGACCTTACAGTGACAATGTAGCAGACTGTCATCTGTCCCAGTCTCCTCTGAAAAGCTCCATGTCAGGACGCTTTAACAAAGTCGAGTCTGTGGCTGGCATCTGAGGGGAGGTTTGGTGGCACCCTTCTTTTCAGCGGCAGTCCTTCCTGCTGTAGGTATGGTTCATTGTTTTGAAGTGGCAAATGTCAAAGTTACAGTGCTCCTGTTGGGGACCAGAGGAAGGAAGAACTGCAAAGCTGAGGACACTGGGCCAGGCCAGCCCAACAAAGGGCCTTGTCCAGTAATGAGCCACTATGCAAATGAGCCACTATGACATGTGCAAAAGGCAAAATGAGATGTCTAATAGGCCTGGGGGGCAGTAACATGAGGCCACCTTTAGTGATGTCCCTGGCTTTCATGGCTAAATAATACAGTGCTGTCTCATTCCCAAACAAGAGTACGTGTGAGCGAGCTAGCCTGTATTGGGCTCAATGAAAAGGATCCACTCTTGCAGAGAAGCTCCTGGGAATTATTTGCTTCAGTAGGCCAGCTTGAAGGGACAGATGCCACGCCGGGTCCTTCCCTGTCTTGGAATCAGTGCAGCTGGCCTCAGGTCAGATAAAAATAAAGGGCCAAGCCTCATCACCAGGACACTAGGGGCAAGAGAGATGAATGTGCCAATCACAGGAGGACGCTGTTGCAGAGAGGCCCCTCCTGGCTGGAGCTGGACATCCCCAGGGCAGGCATTCTGTCGCTAAGTGTCTCCAAGACAACCTGCCTTATAGCAACGAGGACCAGCAGGACTGCCTCCCTTTCCTCTTAACTAGGAATTAAATGTCTTTGCACCCTAAAAACCAGTGCTACTGTCTTGAGAGGAGCAAAAACCAGTTTTCCAGATAGTGTGTGTGTGTTTGTCATGTGGATTTCAAAATGTATTCACATGCTTTCCCAGTTTTGACTACAAAGTAAAAGATTTGTGGGCAAAGAAGACATAGCATGCTTACAAACTGGGCAGTGAGAACAGAGCCAGAGTGCTGGCTTGGTGCTGTAAAATCACAAAAAAAAAAAAAAAAACAAGAGTTCAGATCCCAGTGCCCACACACCAGGCCCATGATCCTGAGCCAATCTCTGAGAGATCTGACAGTCTCTTCTGGTCCTCCTGTGCACAGGTATGTGCACTCATGCCCCCACACACATGCATACACTCACAGACACAGACAGATACACACTGAAAAGATCTGGGAAGGTAGTCCTCATCCATTTCTCTATGCAGTTGTATGAATTACAGGCAGGTAGAAAGAAAGAAAGCTTGCCCGGGATTGAACAATACATTTTAGATTAACTTTATCCTCCTTTCATTAGGTAAAAGATGAACCGTTCTCTTGGAACCCAGAAGCAGGAGTGATCCAGATAGAACTCTATTTCCAAAGATGGCACAGGCCGAGCTTGCATCAATCATCATAGTGTCTCTTAGTGGCATAGGATTGGATGCTATCCACCTAATGTATCTGGCAAGAGATGTCGCCCTCAACCTTAACTGCCTTACTCTCTTACACCCTATGTTGGGCACTTTCTGGGGCAAGGGGTGCACTGTGTGCAGGTATGTATAGAAGGCAGAGGCGGACGTCAGCTATCTACCTCAATTATACTCCCTCCTATTTTCTGAGGCACCTGCATCCCTCTGATCCTGCTTGTCTGGCTGGCCAGTGAGCAGCAAGGATTTCTGTCCCCACCTCCACAGACTAGGACCACAAGAGTAGACAGCTCAGCATCCAGCCCTTTTCCTGGGCACTAGAGATCTGAACTCAAGTCCTCAGGCTTGCACAGCAAGAGTTTTACAGGTGGAGCCATGCCTCCAGCCCCTTATGAATGCCAGCCACTGGCAGAAGTCCAATAGACCCCAGACATATGGCTGACTATTGCTTCAGA